CCCCAAAACCCCAAAACCCCAAAACCCCAGCAAGGAATAATACTACGAATTGGAAATTTAATAAGCATATAGATTGATTACTTAACATCACCATAATATTTAATAACTTTAACCAGTTCCCTTGAAATAAAACTTTTTAATCTTAAAAAGATAAGTCAATATGAAAATCCATAGCTATAAGCATATTAAGACATCAACACAGGGTTCCTAAAAACATGAATTTAATAAGGTGATTAATATATACATCTTTTCTTGGATTAATTATTTTTTAGGCTTTTTCCTACTTAGTTCTACTTCGAGTCCTTTGTGGTAATTTACAATGTAATCCCACTAGTCTGTCACAAGGCTAAGTTGTTTCAATAATTCGCTTATACCAGGCTATTCACTTAATTTTATAGACTTTAGAAGGCATTTCCCAATTTACTTGCTCAGATCGATTCCAGCCTAAATGTCGTTGTTCTAATCACCAATGACAATAAGATTTGTAATCAAATCCCCGTCAGCTTAAATAAATGGTTATACGCCATCTATTAAACTCAAGAAAGTTCTGGTTTTCCACTCTTTGGCGTTATTTGGATATTGAGACTCAAAGTAATCTCTGGCCGAAACGACAGGAATATTACTCCTTAATACCTGCATTGTCTTTGGCATCATCTATTCAGCACAGATATAAACCCAGTTTTATTTAGCGTTTGTAACTATAATTGGAGAGGCATCATTTAAACTTAAGAGAAGCAGATTACTCTAAAAAAATGGTCAATAATCATCTTAGATCAATTTACTTACAACTAATTCATCTAGAGCAGTCAAGTTTGGCTAAAATACCTTAATTATAGCTTTAATATCTTGTTCACACTCAGGTTTTACCGCTGATGTGAAAAATAGCGTGTCATCCCAATCGAAGATAATAATGGTTTACTTTTTTGTGTTTCTAATGCTTGTCCGCAAAACTTTGTTGTGAGCTAGTTTCGTGATGTATTTGCTTCTTATCTGATTATGCGTAGAAGGCAGTATTTCGGTTTCAATTTCCTCATCTTCAAACTCTACTGAAAAATCAACACTTTTCTCCATTAGTCGGAGATTATACATGGAATCCAAAGATTCAATGTCAATTTTACTGTCACAAAAATTGATGTGATCCTAGTTCCAATTTTATTTGTTTTAATTAATAATATTTTTCTATTCTAACCCAGCTCCCTAACTCTTGTTTTCTTAAAGAATGTTTTAGTCAAGTTCATCAATTGTAGATTAAAGTGAAAGTCTCTCTTACAGATTTTCACTATATTTGGCAGCTGATTGGAAAAATCTTGAGTCTAAGTAGTATTTCTAGACAGGAGCATCTTGATTTGTTAATTCAAATTTAGCCTATCTTTCGAAATCACCATGCATTTCATTTATACTTAATAATCTTTGAGTTCTTTTCTCAAAATCTTATAATTCATCTTAGTTTATAGAAAATGATTTGTCTAGATATCTTTCTATGGGAGCTTAATAAGTAGGGAAGCTGGAGTAATTTGAAAGCAAGCGAGTTCTGTTCATGTTAACTCTTTTCTTAACTACCTGATCTCGTTATGCTGTGCGAAAGTGCTCCTTGTTTTATTATATAAGCTCATTTATGTCATCTTCCATGAAATAGTCATGAGGTCTTTCACCTTCAGCAGTCTATTTTGTCTTTTTAGCTGGGACAAATTTTGTTCCTAATGGTGTTTTGTGCCGCTTTGGAGATTATTCTAAGCTAAGGTCATAAAAAGCAATTACTTTAAGAATTCAAAGTCAAAAATAGTTTCTATTAATTCGCGATGTTTAGTCGGCAGCTTCTGACTCCATAATCTACGTCAGCATTTCTACTTTCTCGATGTTATAGATCAAATGGATTCTCGGTTCTATCTTGACAGCAAAAGACTTTAAAATTATTTTGAACTTCTAATATCTTACAATCAAAGACACCTCCTCTTGCTTCAGAATTTTCACCCCTTGACGATTTATTTCCCATAATAATAATTTCGTATTTTTAATTAACAGAGAGATTATAAATTTCGTTTAATTAATATTACATAATGCAATCAATCAATCACTCTCATGGGGTTTTGGGGTTTTGGGGTTTTGGGGTTTTGGGGTTTTGGGG